ATCGGTCGAAATTCAGTTGTTGTATGGAAAAATGTTTTGTTTTTCAAGACATCTTAACCATACTCGGCATTAACTATTTTCCCTGTGCTTCTTAGATACGGGCAAAGCACTATGAGCATTATGAAAAGGTTGGGTCTGCAAGGGTATTAAATCTTCGGCGTGCCGAAGATAGCCCTTCTTTCTCGTTTTTTTTTTACTAAAGAAGTGTATCTTGGCCAAGTTTATTTCTGTTAGGTCCTTTCATTTTTCAGCTTCAGTTTCTTAGTTTCTTTTCCTACTTCTGGCGTCCCGTCGAATTTCAAAGAAACATTTGTTTGGTTTCCCACAGTCGGAGTCGGAGTAACTAACATTTGGAAGCTAAGACCGAAAATTAGCACACGTGTGCTGGCTGCTCGGACGACTCAATGATAAAGCCACTAAGCCAAAGGTATGCGACCCATGGGCAATTGTATATATACACACACACACAGACACACACACAATACCCTATATGCCCGTCAATATGCCTTCCACACCCATTCGGAGCGCTGCTGTTTATTTAGCCACAGCTGGCAGCCCGATGACGACGACTTATCAATGGGTCCCATCTGTGTTAATGATGCCCTGGCGCTCTGATAACCGTTAGGTATCTGCCCGTACCGGCACGTGTGCACTGTTGGCCCTCCGCCCATGCGTTTGTGTGTGTGTGCGTGTGTGTGTGTGGGGGGCAGGCATTTCGATAAGAACGGACAGCCCCCACTCGGTGTTTGTATAATATCAGCTGTGATAAAACCTTTAGTAAACTTGAGTCTATTGGGCAGTCAATCGTCAGCTTTGCTGCAAAGTCGTTAACCCCTTTTGGAAGGTAATGCAGCATGATTGATTTATCGCTAGGGTCGGCCAGGGTCCATTCGCTAGCTGCTGCAGTTCACAAAGGGCCCATAACTTAATTGAGTCGAGTACGAGTGTGGGCTGAGCACTGTTTGCCGAATCAAGACAATTCACTATTCTCATTTTGATCGATGGTTTTATTAGGCCTAAAATACCTTAAATAATGACTTCAATATGGGGCAACAAATAAAATTTTTATGTTTTTCATTTAGGGAACTTCAACAAAAACAAAACGATGAGACCTGTGTTTTGCTTGTGCTCTAACAGGGTCTGTTCGCATCAGATGGAAGAACCTAATGATCAGGATTTAGCTCATGAAAAACAGAAAATTCTAAACGAGCTTAAAGCTTATCTTTCTTTTTACATATAAACAGCCGAGCCGAGGCTCAAATCTAAACCTGGACTCAAGTAAAACGATTAGACAACTTCGATTAAATGCAGAACTTTCGATACTGAGTTATATGGGAACTCTCATTAAAACACTTTCGATAATTTAGAAACTCTAAATAATTGTCAATAGAGCTCTTTTCTAGTCTCAGACACATATGTACACATATAAAATTTTATATTAAAGAGACGCCCGATAAACTTTCTTTGTAAATTAAGGATGATTTTATCTAACTAAAGTCATCGATAGTCAAAAAGTTTCTCTGCTATTAAAAACTATCGATAATTCGATACGTTTTATGACAGCTCTGTTCTTTTAACTCACAGACCGTCCTCGTGTAGAGCTCTACTTGCACATAGATACTTAAGTGTGGAGCATTGGAACATGTGTGACCAGGCGCCATCTAGGATACTATATGTATATATGTATGTATGTAGGCTAGCCGCCATCACACCCCTCCGCCGCGTTGTAGCTCTTGTGTGGCGCTTGGGGCAATCTGAAGTGCGGCACTTCAATTCCAATTCGACAGCAGCCAATTGCAAATCGCAGATGAAACAAGAACAAGGCTCGGGGGTGCACTCCAGTTGGCAGTTTTTGTTTTGAAGACGTCCTCCTCGTGGTCGTCGTCGTCGTCGTTGTTGTTCATATTGTCGCCTGTTTCTGTCAGTTTGCTTTATCCACTTGGGACACGAAGCAGCTGCAGCGAGGGGCCCGCTCGGGGGCATAAACTGGCGTACAGTGCAGCTTTTTTTTTTTTTTGTTGTTTGTTGTTGCTGTTGGTGGTGCTCCAGAGGCCCTTCACATATCCTGCGCAGAAATTGAAAAACTACTAGAGCTAACTTCAATTGAGACGTGCTCTGACCTGTCCGAGCCACGATTGAAATTCCAAGCACTGCTCGTGGCACCGCCCCCTGGGACAATCCGATAAACACTTGAATAGAAAGCCATTTGATGAACGACGCCAACTCGTAGGCTCTCTGCTCGCATTACAGCTAATTGCGTGGACGAGTACCCGGACGAGCTCATAGACTGAGGCGCAACGAAATCAATAACGAAATTGTGTTACGCCTTTCAGGAAGGCCCATTTGGCTATTTGGTTATATGCCATATGCCATATGCTCGCACCGGATAGTGTTAGTCTTAATTACAGATGAAGATGCGCCGCGATAAGGCAGCAGGGCGGAGGCTGTGTGCCGCCAAAGGAAAACAAACAAATATTTACTGTGCGCACTCGCATTTAATTGCCCGGTGGTCGGGTCTCTCGACCCAACCGTTGACCACAACCCTGCGCTTGAGACCGACGCGGCATATGGCGCTGAAACGTGAGTAGCTCACGTTTGGTTGATTGCCACGTGAGTTGAACTGGACAGCCGGTACACTTTCCACGCCGAGATCAGCTGGCCAAAATGTTCATTACGAGACTGTTGAAAGGCCCGACTGTCTGTTACAGACGAAATTTGCAGACTCCGGGCGGGTTGGACACGCATCTCTCAGCCTGCGGTTGGGTGTTGAATTTCTATACCTTCTGCACAAATGGTTTTGTGGCAAGTTCAGCTGTCTGGCTAACCGCACGACGGCACGAATCTATCGTTGGCTATCGACTCCAATCTATATTTGCTCACATGCGCGTCTGATGATGCTTAAGAGTCAGAGCTCCATTAAACATTGCCCATGTATGCCTCGGCTCACGGTTCAATTCAGTATTTTGTTCTTGCACATTTGTGATATGTTAATTTGAACCGTGTTTCTATCTGTGTATCCTAATTTTTGTCAGCATAATTGAAATTTACCAGGAATTAAACTGCATTCTGTAGAGCCAACCCGATTTAAGAAAAAAATATACGTCCAGGTTGGGCTGATCTTTATCCAATTAATCCGGTAAATAAAAAAGGGGAGCACTGGTTCAAACTCTGTTTGCAACTGTGGGTTTTAAAGATTTATATTTGTATTAATAATATGTCTTGGCCTTAAAAGTTGTTGTCGTTTGTTAAGTTTCTGAAAACCATAATTTTTTAATTTTTTATTGTGATATTCTGACCAACTGCGGTATTTTCTAATTAAGCTACGCTGCTTAATTATATGCCAAAATATATCAGGATCGCACAACTATATTATACGGCTCTATAGAAAGAAAAATCGAAAAATTAATTTTTTCTATGACAAAATATTCTGTTTTCCAAGATATTTTCATCAACTCAACAATTAACTATTCTCACATCTCTGCAAAGCCGTAAGGCAAATGTATACAAGGGTATTAAATCTTCGGCGTGTCCAATATATCCCTGCTTTCTCGTTTTTTCTATTGAGTTTCTTAAGCAAATCAAAAGTCAATCAAAAAACTAAGCAAAGAGGTTGCTGGTTCAAATCATAAGGTTTTATTTATGTATTTATTATTTATTATTTTTTTTATTTTTGAAATAATAATTATTATTTCTATTAAAATATATTAAAGTAATATTAAAATATATATTCATATATATTAACTGTACTAATATTAATTATTATTCTTAAAATATTTCAAAATATTTTCATTAATCCAACATTGTAATACTATTTAGTGCAGCTGCAAATTGTTGTATTTGTTATTGTGGTTATTTTTGTCTGTATCCATTTCTTACGTTCAGATGTGGGATTTGTTCATGAAATATGTGAAAAGCATTTACTGGCACAATTACGTTTACGCCTGAACACCTTCTTTCATACTTTGTTCCATTATCACATATCCCACATTCAAACATGACGCAATAAAGAAGTTTACATTTGGCTGGGTTGGGTTCGTTGGCAAGGATGCCTCTTCCTGTTCTTGTTTGTTGTGTTTGCTTTTTATTTACATGCGGCGCAAGTAATTTTATATTTGCACAATAAATGTGGCGGCCTAATTGAGTTAGAGGCGTTTCGTGTGTGTAAATACAGCAAAGTGACAAGAATCCTTGAGCAGCCCACATACAAAGCAAACACACACACACTGCATTTGTGCGCTCTTTTGTTTGTCTTGCTGCCTTACAGCAAAAGTCGCTGGGACAAGAAAAATAATGTTAAGAATTACGCATTTCTTACAGCAAAAGTAAGCGAAAATGTATTTAGGTTAACTTGGAAATCACTTAAGCTGATTATATCTAAGGCCAATTTATGCATTTTAAAAAGTTACCCAATACCTCATTCCCGATCGACTATTCCTGAATGAGACGCTCTGTCAACTGGCATTTATGTATATTTGGGCGTAGAGAATTAGTGCATCTTAACTAAGTAAGATTAATTTGTTCGATTTTCTCTGTCTCGATTTATCGAACATAAACAAGAAACTAGTCTTAAGTTCCGGACAAAACATTATATTGTTGGGTTCCGGACAAATAGTGAAAGCATTATATTCCCTTCATTACCCATTTGACACAGGGTATATAAATAGATGGGCTAACTTAACTAATTTACTGGGTATTCGAATTCTACAACTTGACAGCGAAGAACTTAGATTAGTGGAGGACGAAATAGAAAATGCATTAATTAGGATGAGATCAGAGAACCGAGGCTATATAAAAAATAAGTAAAGCTGGCAACTCTTGAACAGAATTTGCAAATTGGATTCGTAGAAAATAAAGGAAATCTTTAAAAGAACCTCAACACCATAGATGAATTAAATTGAGTTAACCAAAGCTTAACTTAAAAGCGTATCAAATGCATGGCGCAGCGGAACAGCGCAGCTGTCAACGGCTTCCGTAGCAATAGGCTCACATTAGGCTGGAGTGCAATGGAACGACGTATTTGGTTGGCTAATGCGCACAAGATCCGGGTGGTGCTCCATGTGGTGGCCAGTGCGAATCTTGGCTATGCGCTGTACTACGACTATATGTATGTGGAGCTGCCGGCGCTGGCCGTGGAGCTGCGGCTGGAACCACCCATGGGTGGAAAGTTCAAGTACCTGACCTTTCTCACCGGATTGCTGCAGACCGGATACTATCTGCTAGCGTTGGGACAGGATTTGTGCCGACTGCGTGCATTGCGACAATTGCGGGACTATCTGCTGGCCAGCTTTGTGGTGCCGCTGGCATTGACGGTGAGTGTGACCTTCTGGACGCTGTGCGCCATAAATCGCGAATCGATCTATCCCCCGTTCCTGGATGTGGTCTATCCAAAGTGGCTTAACCGGACCATGCACTGTTATGTGGTGATCTATGCGCTGCTGGAGCTCTGCACCACAGCTCATCGTTACCCGAAACGGGGCAAGGGATACGCTGGACTGGCTGCAGTCATGGGCTGCTATCTGATTTGGCTGCATCTGGTGCATTACTGGACGGGCATCTGGATCTATCCCTTTCTGGACGCACTTGTCGGTCCGCTGCGCCTGTGCTTCTTTGCCCTGATCGTGGCACTGTCCTTTGGCTATTACAGGCTGGGCGAACATGTGAACTGTGTGCTCTGGGACAATGGGCGCTAAGGACTAGAATTCGCCCAACGTAATAAAGCAATTTCCGCTTCTCCAATTCACGTTGATTGCTCGGGAGAGTTGGGGGCTGGCTAGGTGTAAAATTTGCATAGAAATGCGCTCGAGTCGCGCTGCTCGAGGGCCAACGGAAATTGAAGGCAATAATAATGACAATTGACTTGTTAAAATGTTGCGAATGCGAGTTTAAAATAGTAACCCACTGAACCAAACCAAACCAAACCCAAGCCGAAACGGACCGAGCCGGACTGCTTTGCCAGGGGTTGGCCTCAGGCAGCGAATGCATTTCGTCAGGGTTTGAGGTTTTTCTTCATTTCTTTTCTCTTGCGGTCGTCGAAGCGTGGAATTAACTCAAATCGATTCGTTGTACTCGTCAAGGGACGTGGCAATCGTTAGGGTTATAAGCGTAGCATCCACTTAAAGGTTTTCAGTTTTTCAACAGTTTTAGTCGAAGAAAAGGTTTCAGACTTCTTGGCAATGACAAGTGTATTATAATTTTACAGTTCGTCCCAGTGCTCTTGCCAAGGCTTTGTTGAAGGGTGAGTTTAATAGGGGATATAATATATATAATCTGTTAAATTTTAAATTGGTTGCAACATAAAATAAACTCCTAAGTGTAATAGAAAATAGTGCTGGACATGCCTTTCTGCATTTGATAATCGGTATAAAATCAAAGAGTTCCATCAGGATGAGTAAATATTATATGAAAATCCCCTGATGTAATAGGATATCGCAGTTCGCGGCATATGAGCTGCCTAAGTGGCTCCTAATTGTCACTCAGGCAGCGCAGAAGAAAAGATCATTGGTTCACTAATGTGCTTACTTAGTAGAGTAGTAGAAAAATTGAGTAGTAGAAACTGGACATAGTGGACAGTGCTCAATCACATGGTTAAATTAATACAATGCGAATAAAAAAACGAGCTGCCTCGCACATCGAGCTATATTTAGCTGGTGATAATTGCAATTCGGTGCTCGATAGTTAAGCCCAAGCCGAATCGATTAGCGATCCCAGCGAATGCCTTGCCCATGCGTGCACCAATATTTTTGATGAGTAGCCACCCCGTTTGTGAATGCCAATATCGATTCGGATTCCCGATTCCGTTTCTGTTTTAGATACATAAATCATCGGCCGGCAGCTGTTTGGGTCACGTGCAGAGGCCAGCTAAATGGCGACATTCAGCTGCGAATTGCTGAGAAACAGCTGAAAAACTGCAAAAGGATTTCGAACATGAGTCAGTCAATCCTTTCAGCTGGGCCCATGCTTCGGCTGGGTTTTCCATGAAAATTGGAAAACATGCTGCGCACCCACACGCGGCACTTGTGCTAAAAATATTTCAATATTGAATGGGAACAGCTGAAATGCATTCACACACACACACACACACGCACACGCCATGCCTGGGATTTGTTTATTGCGGGCCGGAACCAGGCCAGAGCGTTGCCGGAAACGTGTTTCATATGTCAGAGGAAGTGATGTTAGCTGCCTGCGCCTGCGCCTGCGCCGCAGCTAGAGCTCATTTGTGAATGGGCCAGGACTCAGGTACTCGAGCTGCTCAGCATGCAAATGAACCGACAAAGGAGCACTGGGAACGGCATCAATTGAGTCATATGGCGCATGCCTGCCTGTCTGCCTGCCTGCCTGCCACAGCCTGAGAGGATGTGCCAGGATCTGTGTCAGCTGTCGATCGAGTGCCGATTGCTGGCGACCCCTCTGGCATAGCTGAGTATATTGTTCAGTTGTTCCACGCACGATTGATTCAATTGGCGTACCCCCTGGCCCCCTTGTACATATCATCGAGTCAGCCGCTGTGGTCTTGTATGGCATTTAGCTTTTTCGATCTCTCCCTCCCCCTTTGTATAATTTGTGCAAATATTTTGTGAGCCGCTGGCAAACAATGGGATTCAACTTTTGTCTTCCTGCCCGCCGCACACAAATTGTCAATTTGTCACCCGCGTGAATTGCCGGGCCCGGAATGCAGAAACAGTTACGACAGTTGCCACAGCCCGACGCGAGTATCTTTCATCCATTGTGCCGGAAAATTGTTTATTTATTGTTATTCAGCGTCGTCGGCGTCGTCGTCGTCGTCGTCGTCCGCTCTCACAATGCAATTTCACGTTTAATTGCGTGCGTCTGTTCTCCCAAACGATTTTATAACTCTGAACAGACCCAGCAAATATGCAGGCTGTTTGTTTTACCAAACACACGCAGGTAACCATTTTAATGACACGAACACACAATTCCCAGACCAGCTCGCGAGCCGGCCTCGGCGAATCCCGCGAGCCTGCATAAGTTAACTAGATAAGGCTATTTTTTATAGCCTGCCTCTATAGAGTATATTTGTATATTATATATGCCGGATCAATTTGGCCAGCTGGATTGGCATTGCAATGACTGCTCGCATATCTGCTGGCCTTTCAGAAACACTCTTCTTTCGTTCTTCGCATAGCTCCTTCTTGCTGCAGGCGCTATATATATCATGCAGGTGGGATCATATCATATATGGGCACAGAATAGTCGTTCGACTTCAAAAAAATTTGGCTTGACTTTATTTTATTACCAAAGCAGCGTTACTTTTAAAAATAAATGGTACTTTGGAAAGTATTGTTCCCAGATATTAACAAACAAATAGCGATAGATAGAAATAGGCACATAAAGTGCCTGAAATGTTAGTTTTTGGTTTCATCTTTAAAAAAAATCTGAAAAAGAAAATATTTTTACGCGATTTATTAAGCTAACAAATGTTCTTAAATTGTATATAAGTAAATAAAACTAAACGTTTCTTAGTATCAGAAAATGCTCTTGTCTTTTACAAAATATTAACTGCTAACAAAAAAAAACTACAAATAAAAATGTCTGAAATTAGGCAAATTTTATCATTATATTTTAAGGATATTCTTGCAAAGAATATTATGAATTTGTTACGAAATGCGAAACACATAGAAAGACAGCCCAGACACAATTCTGTATGCATTCTGAATCTGTATGAAATTTCGAGGCCATATACCCAAGTCTAGATGTTTCTGCGCTATTATTCTCTCAGCTTAGCTGTCTTATGAAACTTGGCGATACAGATGTTAGAGTATATAGCTCTATTATAAATTTGATGTTGGAATGCTCGGTCGAAAATTAAGTTCTTGTATGAAAAACTTATATGTTATTCATGACATCTTGTCCAAATTTTACGTTTATTAATTCCAACATTCGCTTTAAAACTACTGCACGAAACTTCGTTGAAAAAATCAGTCAAAAACAAAATTTTTGTATGGAAAGAATCAAGAATCTAGACCCGAAAGTTACGAGTTGTACAAAAACAACATTGTATGTTAAAGCTACTTTTTCTTAACATAATTAATTAATTAAATCAACTTGAAATTTCATTGACAGTGGAATGTATCGTTGGGCCAATAGGTTTCTGAAATGTTGAATACTTTGCATTTTTTACCGCAAATAGGTTATTCAAAATAAGCGGAAATTCCATGCCAAAGATATTCAATTTTGATTTTCCTTAGCCGCATCCGTTGCCGTCATCCCTGTAATCATTCTTGAAGCGGCTGCTCCTGCAGTGCGTTCTGCGTCGCCGTCGTGTCAAAAGCGATTCCCCTCCACACTTGCCGCTCGTTGCAGCATTCCCCTATCCGCCCCGCCCCGCCCCACCCTGTCCATCGCATTGTCTTCTGTCAGCATTGATTAAACTTTCTGTCTGCGCTTGTCTCGCACGACGACGCTGCTCCCCGTTGCATGCGTGAAATTTCGCCCATGTTGCACAAATTGATGTTGCATGCCGCTGACGTTGTTGTTGCCCCTCCCTTGTCTTTTGTTGTGCTTGCTGCGCTGGTGGCATGTTCGCGAAAAGTCATGCGATTTCCTCAGACGTGCGCAATTAGGAAGGGGATATTCCGCCAGCCAGTGGCTGCCGACCCCTGACAAGACGACCCTCCCAGTCGAGCTGCTTTGAGGGGGGGGACTTGTTTTGTTTTAAACCTCAAGTAAAGTCAACTAAAGTATTCCACTGCGGGCGCACACTATTAACCCAATTAATGGCAAAAGTTTAGCAGCTCTGATTAGAATCAGCTGGAAACATGATGACTACAAAGCGTTACGACAGCAGGTACACATTTTGCCAACTCATGTTCTCCTCCACCCAGCTCGTTGAGCTACAAATGGATTCAGGTGCTTCGTCATGAAATTCCGACAGATCTTTGAGCAAACCAGAGCTGCCTTTACATATTCTATAGTCTGAATATCAGAATTGAATTTTCGGTATTGACGGTAAAATAGCATCTTATTTCCAAAATGGAAAAAAGAGTGCATATCTTTGCCATTCCGAAAATTGAATACCCTGGCTCAGAATTGTTTTATTTGCGAGAAAAGAAAAGACAAGCTTGTAAGTGCTGAGTTTGGCTGATTCATCTTGAAAAACGAAAACTTATGGCTCGATTAATATAACTATAAGATATATAAGAAGCATGTTAAATTTCGCCAGTGTTAAGCTTGGTCAAAATTTCTTCCGAAAACAAAAAGTATTTTATACAAGAAACCCCAAATTCGAGAGAATAGTTTGCACTGAAGCAGACGGACAAGAGATATATCGACTCGGCTGTTAATATCGATCAAGACTATATACTCTTTATGCGCTTGGAGCTGTCTCATTCTCCGCGCTAAGCATCTCACGAAATTGTTATGCCCTCCACAAGGATATTGAAAGGATTATATCCAAACAATATGATATATGGCATGTTGAATACAAATCCAAGAAGCGCCATTTTACGTTGTCGTTGAGCACGTTCTGAAAACGATGCGAATTTTTTGAATATATTTGTGACAAGAAAAGAAAAGAAGAGAAAAGAAAAATTTGTAAACATCGTCGAGAGGATGCAGGAGGCAACATGTGTTGGCCGTGTGAAGGGATTGGAGCGTGGCATATCACGATTGCGGCAATCAACAAATGGAGCGGCAACCTCATTAGTCAAAAGGAGGGAACAAAGCGCCGCAAAAAGGAATCACGACGCAACCCTCCGCCCCCGTCCCCGCCCCCACCACCACAGCCCAGCCCACTCTCCTTCACGGTCCTCGAGGTCCGCAACGAGGATGTGCGGCATATGTGGCCACATTAGTCAGTGGGTCGCTGAGTGGGTGAGCATGAGCATTCACTTACAGATACCCACACACACACACGCACACACACTCGCAGACTCGTGCACACACGTGCGTGCTCGCGAAATGGTCTCGTTGGGGTAAACGCAGCGGAAATTGTAAATTTTTTACTCGCAAACGAAAAAAATAAATCATATGCGTGAAATGTTTGCAATGCCGCCGACTTTAACTCCTCGATGGGGCACAACGGGATAACGGGACAACATCAGGTGCACAGTGGTTCACACTCCAGAAAAAAAGGAATACAATCTGAGCCATCAGTGCTGGTCTTTTCTTAGTATATTCTGCGCTTTATGTGTGGAAATGAACTCTTCAAAGTATGCTACAAAAATGAACAGAATATAAAAGAGGACTACTAATAAAAACCTACAATTATTTGAGATT